GCTTTATTTCAAGGATGCAAGATTGATTCAATAAACACAAAAATAAAAGTAATACACCGTATTAACAGAAAGATAAAAATCTTATATTAATTGATGAAGAAAAAGGAATTGATAAATCCCTTATGATTAAGACTATCAGCAAAATTGGCAGAGAACTGACATTTCTCAACACAATAGAAGTAGTATGTTAAAAACCCATAGCTGAGACCAGCAGTTGGTGTAATGGCTGGATTCCTATGTAGTTGACTGTGGTTAGAGTCCCAGACCAACTGGTTTAAACTCATGCCAATCACGTTTGTGGGCATGCCCCAGATCCTGAGAGGAGAATGGAGGAGAAGGAACTGTGGCATGGCCATCCCATGGGGAGTGATTTGTTGCTTTCTGTTTCTCTGTCTCTCTCTGTCTTTCTGGCCAGCACACACACCCTGTAGCAAAAAACTCTCAAAAAAAAAAAAATAGCTGGGACCAGCAGTTAGCATAATGGCCATGTTGTGGAACTCCCATGTATCCCACTACAGTTTGAGTTCTGGACCTGGTGGCTTAAACTTACACTGGGCGCGTGTGCGTGCATGCCCAAGATCCTGAGAGGAGAATTGGGGAGAAGGGATTGCAGCATGGTCATCCCACCCTGGGGGTTGATTTCTTGCTTTTTATGTTTCTGTCTCTCTCTGTCTTTATGGCAAGTGCACACACCCTATAGCAAAAAAAAAGAAAAGAAGAAAAGAAAAAAACAAAGGAAAGGAAAGGAAAGGAAAGAAGGAAAGGAAAGGAAAGGAAAGGAAAGAAAAGAAAAGAAAAAAGAAAAGAAAAGAAAAGAAAAGAAAGAAAAGAAAAGAAGAGAAAAGAAAAGAACAACTCATAGCTAACTTCATACTGAATGAATGGAGAAAGCTAAAAGCATTTTCACTATAAACTGGAACAAGCAAAGGCTGCTGACTTTCTTCACTCCTCTTTAATATTGTACTGGAAGTCCTTGCCAATCAATCAGATAAGAAAATAAAATAGCAACTAACAGATGGTGTAATGTTTATGTTGTGATACCCTCATAGTCAACCATGGTTCAAGTCCTGAACCTGACAGCTTGAAATTCATGCCAGGTATGTGTGCATGCATCCCTAAAATCCAAAAAGGAGAATCGAGGAGAAGGGACTGTGGCATGGCCACTACCCCTGGGGGTGATTTATCACTTTTTGTCTCTCTTGTCTCTCTGGGAAACACATGCACCCTATAGCAAAAATCTCTCAAAAATAAAAAAAGACAAGAGGCAGTCAAGTCAAATAAGGAAAGAAGAAGTGAAATTGTCTTTATTTGCAGATGACATGATTACATACATAGAAACTTCAAAAGAATCAAAAAAAAAAAAAAGAAAAGAAAAAACCTGGATGTTATAAAGGAACACAGTAAAATGTCAGTATACAAAATTAACATGCAAAAATAAGTAACATTTTTATACAGCAACAATGAGCAGACTGAGGTATAATTAAAGAAGCAATCCCAACCAAAGACCCTCAGCCCAGACTTCACCCTCCTGCTTCCTGATCTAGCCAGGAGCCAGGATAAGTTGATCAGCAGTCAACTACATCTTAGTTAAAAGCAATGCCTTTCAGGGATTTCAATCACCAAAGTCCCTCCTCCCAGAATTCACCCTCCTGGCTCCCTAGTCTAGTAAGGAGCCAGCAGGTTAGAACACCCTAGTTATTCTCTCTGTCTCTTTCCATCTCTCTTTCTCTTTCTCTCTCTCTCTCTCTTTCCTCTCTCTCTCTCTCTCTCATTTTTTTATTAATTTTTAAACTTAGCTTTCTATTGCTCTGTTCTTTTAATTCTTACCTTTACCCCTGCTTCCATAGGTTAAGCCAATCAGTGGTCAACTACATTTCAGTTTTCATCCAATTAAAAGATGGGCAAATGAACTGAACAGACAACTCTCTAAGGAAGATATATGAACAGCATAAAAGCATATAAAAAAATATTCAACATCCTTTATTATAAGGGATACGCAAATCAAAACCACAATGAGATACTACCTAAACCCCATCAGAATGGTTAAAATTTAAAAAGTAAGACATGGTATGGGACCAGCAGTCAGTGTAATGGCTATGTTGCTGGACTCCCATGTAGTTGACTGCAGTTCACTTCTCGGACCCAGTGACTTAAAACTCACACCGGGTGCATGTGCGTGCATGCCCAAGATCCTGAGAGGAGAATGGAGGAGAAGGGATTGTGGTGTGGTCATCCCCCCGGGGAGTGATTTCTCACTTTCTGTCTCTCTGTCTCTCTCTCTGTCTGGAGAGTGCACGTGCCCTACAGTAAAAACTTCTCAAAAATAAATAAGTAAATAAATAAAATAAAATAAAAAGTAAGACATGGTGTGGGACCAGCAGTTAGTGTAATGGCTACGTCACTGGACTCTCATGTGGTCGACTGTGGTTCGAGTCCCGGACCTGACAGCTTAAACTCATGCCAGGCTCATGTGCATGTATGCTCAAGATCTTGAGAGGAGAATGGAGGAGAAGGGATTGTTGTGTGGCCATCCCACGGGGAGTGATTTCTTGCTTTCTGTCACTCTGTCTCTCTCTGTCTTTCTGGCAAGTACATGCACCCTATAGCACAAACCTCTTTATTTAATTTTTTTTTTTTAAAGAGTAAGATATGGTATGTGCTTTTGAGGCTCTGGTGAAAAGAGAAAACTTCTACGCTTTTGATAGGAATGTAAATTAGTACAGCCATTGTGGATAACATTATGATATTTCTCAAAGACCTACAAATAGAACTATCATATGATCCAGCAAATCCACTCCTAGGTATATGTCCCCTAAGGATAGAAATACACTTAGTCAGAAAAGCATTTGCACATTCATGTTTATTGCACTAGTATTCACAATTGCTAAGACATAGAACTCAAATGTCCATGAATAGATGAATGGATTGAAAAGTTGTGGATCATATATACTTTGGTATTCTACTAAGCTTATCATTTGGTAGAAAGTGAATGAATATAGAAAATTTTATGTTAAGCAAAGCAAGCCAGACTATGAAAAAGTGACATCATGCATCCCAACTCAATATATTCTGAATGTCTACACTCCGTAGCACAAACAAAAATTTTCGATGATATAAAGGCACGGAGAGCAACTGTGGATACTGGAGAAAGTGTGGGAAATGGTGGAAGGTGAGAGGAAAGAATCAAGAAGGGAAAGGAAGAAAAAAATACTTAAGAAACACTAAATGGAAAATTACTATTGATAATAATATGTATGGTAATGTCTTTGAGCCAATATACAATGTATTCTGGATGGAAAAATCCATTTTCTATGCTGTAATGATATATAGTGATTATAAATTAAAAAATAGTAATAGGAAAAAATATGGCTAGAAAAGTTCATAGAAACAGAGAGTAAAATAGTTACTATAACCTGAGGGTTGACAAGCATGTTAAATGTTGTTTAAAAAGCATGAAATTTTTGTACCAGCAGATGGTGTAGCAGCTTTATCACTGGACTCCCACATGGTCAACCATGGTTAGAGTTCTGGGTGGGCCTGGTGACTTGAAACTCATGCCAGTACATGTTAATGTGTGCCCAAAACCCCAGGAGGAGAATGGAAGAGAAGGAATTTCAGTGTGGCCATCCTCCCAAGGGGGTGATTTCTCACTTTCTGTCTCTCTGTCTCTCTCTGTCTCATGATTGCATGTACCCTATAGCAAAGATCTCTCTAAAAAAATAGACACACAAAATTTAAGTTGGACAAGAAGAATGAGTTCAAGGGACCATTGTACACAATGCACTTAATAACATTATAATGTGTACTTGAAAAAGGATCAAAGAGTAAATGTTTCACTACAAAAACATATGTTGTGAGGTAATGCACATATTAAACTACTTGATTTAGCCATTTTATATATTTTACAGCTATCAAAACATTTTCTTGTATCATAATATATAAAATGTATAACCAAAATATTAGCAATATGAACAAAAAAATTATAATATATTTTTAATAAAACTAGTATAAGAAAGAAAATATGAAAGAGGTAAATGTTGGATCAAGAAATTAGTTCTTTTAAGTTATGACACCTTAAAACTTGTAATGATGAAGACTTGGTGCCTGAATTACCAATGGACAGAGCACAAGACATCAGGCTGAGTAAGTGGACTAATCTTGTGGGGCATTGAGGGAAAGGGTACTCTGTAGCATGTGGCCTCATCCTTTATATATTATAAAGCCCATTTCTCCCAGGTTGGTGTTGCATACCTGGAGTGATGTTAGATATAGTAATAAAATACCTTTTGCACATGACTTAGGAAGCCATTAATAACTGAATTCAACCTTACCCTTCTTGCAAAAGCATCAGATAAAATTACGCCAGTAGGTGTTTTGCTGATTTTAATGCCATTTTCAAAAAGCCCATCCTAATTCCCAGGAGAAGTCTTCCAACATAATTGCTGTTGATCCCTCTTGGATATAAAATTACAGAGCTCATTGTCTCAATATGGGGTGATCCCCAAAGCCTTTCTGGGTCATGATAAAATCATTGGGGATAGAGTATATTAGAAGTCCAAAATATGTTTTTATCCCAGTTGTTTTTCTATCACAATGTCAGGTGACAGGTTCAGAGCCCGAGGGCTAAGAGATCCCCAGAGCTCCCGGATGAAACCGAAGTGAAACAGTAAAAAGACAGTGAGCCTGAGTTGCTCAGATCACAGTGACACTGAGGGAGAGGCTGAGCACTGTGATTCTCTTTGAAATGCCCTTTTAATGCTCCCAGTCATGCCCTTGTCTGATATGCCAGTCTGACCCACACTTTGTACAGGTGCCTAGACAGTTAAAGCAGAAGTTGATTCTTTCTGCAGAGATCTGAGCCTGCAGACACGATCCAATTCCATCCTCTTCTTAGCTTGGCACACACATAGAGATTTTTCTCTGTGTTAACAGGCTTTGACATGTCATTCTCTCTGATTTGTCTCCTGCTACTTCTTCAGCCTTTACAAACTACATGTGAGATGACATCTGAGAGTTGTTTTCAAGATGAAAAGCCGGTTTTCTACAGAGATGGGGACCTAGTATTGGGTGGGTTTTTCCGTCTTTATAACGTGGATGAAGAAGCAGCCATAGTTCAGAAATCTTTTCTAAGATCACCTCAAGAATTGCAATATTCTTGGTAAGTTCTTGGTTATATGTATATGCAAATGTATTTATGATTGTCATACACAGTTTGCTGTTGGAGTGTGGCATACACATTTGTGTGAGTGAGTGCTTATGAGATTAATATCACTTGAGAATAAGGAATAAAGGTGCACAGAAGTCATAGAAATAAACAATAGTGAATTTAGATGTTCTGCCTCATTATTCTTTTACCTTTTCCCCCCTTTATAATGTTCCCTTACAATTTTCAAGATAAAGCATAGAAATCAATGTAGCATGCCATCCACTCCATCAGCACTGTCTGCACTGCCATTGTGAGGCTCAGAATGAAATATTATGACAGCTCCTCTGAAAGCTAAGACCCATAAAGGAAGGCCTACATGAAGATGGAGACACGAACTCCTGATGTGAGGATAGTGTTAGCATCAGGGGACTAACTCTGAGACTCAGTGCTGGTATTGTACAAATGAGCCTCATAGAGAAGTATGAGTGCCTGAGATCCACTGCCTTATATAGACCATGTTCCTCAAAATGTCAGTCATTTAACGTTTCAGATATGAGACAGTTGGGCTTGTCATCCTGAGAGCCAGAAACAATCAGTAAGATAATTTTTCAGGGGCCAGCAGGTAGCACAGTGGTTAAGGCATCTGTAGAGATGCATGTGATAGAGTTGCATAAACCCCAGATATAATGCAGTATTTTGCATTTTCCCTGGAGAAGTTAGACATTAGAGTCAAAGAGCAAAGAGAAGGGTCATTCTCCCCTGATAAATGATTTTTTTTTCTATAGGGTGCATGCACTTGCCAGAGAGAGAGAGAGAGTGAAAAAGTGAAAAATCACTTTCTGTGGTTGTAGTGTGGTCATCCCTCTCAGGAATGATCTCTTACTTTTCCTCTGTCTCAGTTTGATGAGCACTTTACCATCTAGAAAAATTTAAAGATAATAAAGGAGAGACTACTTTATTCACAAAGCTTTTGGTACATTTTGCCAAATACTGGAACACCAAATATTTGTCATCCAAAAACAAAACCCCATACCCATTTGCAGTTTCTCCAGATTTTTATTTTTCTTCAGCTACTGCTAAGCAATAATCTACTTTCTGTTTTTATGGATTTCCCTATTCTGAAAACTTCAAATAAATTAAATCATACCATATGTGATTTTTTGAGTCTGGCTTCTTTCACATAGCAAAATGTTTTCAAGGATTATTGAGATGGTAGCATGTATGAGTACTTCATACTTTCTCTTATTTCTTTAATTTTCTTAGATATTTTTGCTGTAAGACATGTGCACTCACTGAAAGGACTTAAGAGACAGAGTGAGAAAATAAGAAATGAACCCCCAGAAGAGATGGCTAGGCAACAATCTCTTCTCCTCCACTCTCCTCTCAGGGTTTTTAGCACGCACACACACACACACACACACACACACACACACACACACATGCACCGCATGAGATTCAAGTTGCTGGGTCTAGGACTTGAAATGTGGTCAGCCATCTGGGAGTCCAGAGCGTTAACATCTATGCCACCTACTGGCCCCTCTTTTTTAAAAATTTGATTTGCCAGAGAGTGTGTGTACTTGCCAGCGTGTCACAAGAAGATATAGAGAGAAGGAGAGAGAGAAAGTATTCCACTCAATGTGGAATAATCACCCCTCAATCCCTTCTCTTCCATCTCTTCATTGGGTTGGAATTTAAGGCACACACATATGCATTGGTGTTCCACTGGGTCTGAGAACTGAACCAGAGAGTTGTCCATATGGGATCCAACAGGTTAAGTTGTTGGCCCAAGCACTTCATTACTTAGCATTGCCTAATAATCTTCCAGGAACAGGTATACCAAATTTACTTATCCATTTATTTCTTAATAATTATTTGGGACATTTTCCCATCATTTTGTTAGCTACTGGGCATAATACTACTACACGTGTTTATGACAAAGTTTTTGTATGGACATACGTTCCAACTTGTCTTGGGTAGATAAGGAGTTTGATGGCTGAGTCATGTGGTAACTCTAACTTTTTTTTCTTTCTCTTTTATTTTATTTATTATTATCATAATAATATTTTATATTACATTGAGTCTCATATCTTTTTTCATTTTGAGGGGTTTTTGCTATAAGGCATGTGCACTCTCCAGAAATACAGAGAGAGACAGAGAGACAGATTGCGAGAAATCACCCCCTGAAGGGATGGCTACACCACAATCCCTTCTCTATTCCCTCTTGAGATATTTGGCATACATGCACACACACCTAGTGTGAGTTTAAGCCACTGGGTCCAGGACTTCAATGTGGCCAACTACATGGGGATCCAGCAAAATAGCCATTATGCAACTGATGGTCCCAAATCACATATCTTTTCAGTGTATTACATTTCTTTTACTAGCAGAAATACCATGTATATAAGTCAAGACAAAGACATTACTACCCACATCATCATCATCAAATAGGTTTTCATCATTTTTCTGATCATTATAATTATTATCATTTTTAAAAAATATTTAATCACTGCATATTATTTAGCTTATAAAAAGAATTTACCCAACATGAAATACTTCTCAGACCAGTCCAGTTGAGAATACTATACATGTCATCATCAACAGATAATAAGCCACTTCTGTGTCCCACTAGTGTCCTGCCTTTCTATTTGTTCTCTTGTTATCTTTCTCCATACTCCTCCCTTCTTCCCCCCAGTTCTACACTATTTTATGTGTCCTTTACTATCTGCATTGATTTTATGCCCACCAATATTTTAATCTCTACCATAAAGTGTGGATAGTTGGTATATATTAAGTGGATATATACAATATCTTTCTTTCACATTTCTTGTTTCACTCAGAAATAGATCGTCCATATTCGACCACTTTCCATCAAATGCCAGGATCTTTTTTTTAATAGCTGAGTAGTATTTCATAGAATATATGGGTCACACTTTTTTCATCCATTCATCATTTTGTGGACATTTATATTGCTTACATGTCTTAGCAATCATAAATAGTGCTGCAATAAACATTGATGGGCAAGCGTTTTTTTGACTGAGCATTCTCCTGTCCTTTAGGTAGATACCCAGAAGTTGGGTTACTGGATCAAATGGTAGTTCTATGGGTATATCATTGAGGAACCTCCATATTTTTCTCCACAGTGGCTGAACCAGTTTACATTCCCACCAAGAGTGTAAGAGAATTCTTCATTTAGCACATCCACAAGAACACTTATTATTTTTTGTATTTTTAATCTTCCCCATTCTGACTGGTGTTAGGTGATATCTCATTGTGACTTTAATATGCATCTCCCTTATGATGAGGAATGCTGAGCATTTCCTCACATAGTTTTTGGCTGTTCATATGTTTTTCTTAGGGAGAAGTTTTTTCAGCTCGTTTTCCCATCTTTTAATTGGGTTACTCATTTTTTTCCCCCCAAGTGAGCTGCTTAAATTTCCTTTGAATTCTGGTTATAAGTCCTATGTCTGAGGCACACTTTAAAAAATTCTCCCATTCTGCGGGTTGTCAATTTTGCTGTGCAGAAACTTCTTAATTTGATATAGTCCCACCTGTCTATTTTAGGAATTATTGCCTGTGCTTTGGGAGTTTTATTTAAAAAGTCTTTGCCTACCCCAATGTCTCCCAGGGCTTCCCTAATGTTTTATACCAGTAGTTTTATAGTCTGAGTTCTTAGGTTCATATTTTTGATGCATTTTGAGTTGATTTTTTTGTTAGTGGCAAAAGATGGCATTTCAGTTTCATCTTTCTGCAGGTGTATACCCAGTTTTTCTAGCACCATTTTCTAAAGAGGTTTACCTTTTCCCAATGGATTGACTGGTATCCTTTGTCAAAAATCAGTTAGTTGCAAGTTTTGGAGTTTATTTCTTGGGTCTCTATTCTATTGCATTGGTCCACCTGTCTGTTTTTGTCCCAGTACCATGTTGTTTTGATTATCACAGCTTTATAGTATATTTCAGGGTCAGGGAGTGATATGCCACTCACTCCACTCTTCTTGCACAGGATTTCTTTGGCAATACATGATCTTTTATGATTCCAGACAAATTCTATGATTGTCTTTTCTATATCCATGAAGAATGTCCCTGAGTTTTGATTGGAATTGCAATTAATATGTAAATTGATTTGGGTAGAATTGTCATTTTGATTTTATTAATTCTTCCAATCCAGGAACATGGAATGTCCTTCTGTTTTTTAGTGTCCTTTTTGATATCTTTTTAAAGATTTTCATGATTTTCTTTCTTAGATTTATCGATAGGTATTTTATACATTTTGTGGCTATTGTAAAAGGGATTTATTTCCTCAGCTTTACTTCATTCACATTGTTTGCATATAGAAATAATACAGATTTTTAGATGGTGATTTTGTATCTTGCTACTTTACTTAATTCATTTATTTCTTCAAGAAGTTTTTGCATGGAAAACTTTGGGTCTTCTAAATATACCATCATGTCACCACCGAATACAGATATTTTCAACTCTTCTTTGCCTATTTAAATTATTTTTTATGTTGTTCTCTTTTCTGATTGCATTGGCTAGACTTCTAGCACTGTATTTAAAACTAGTGGAGAAAGTGCGCAGCCTTGTCTAGTACCAATTTTCCGTGGAAAAGTTTTTAACTTCCCCTATTCAGTATAACATTAGCTATAGGTTTTTCATATATGGAATTTATTGTATTGAGAAATGACCCTTCTATACCAATCTTACTGAGAGTCTTAATCATTAAAGGGTGTTGTGTTTAATCAAATACTTTCTCTGCATCAATTGAAGCAATCATATGGTTTTTATCTTTCTGTTAATATGGTGTATTATATTTTTGTGGAGTAACATTGAACCATTCTTGCATCTCTGGGATAAAGCCTACCTGATCCTGATGAATAAACTTTGTTATATGTTGTTGGATATGACATGCAAGTATTTTGTTGATAACTTTTGCAACTACACTCATCAATGATATTGGTCTGTAGATTTTCTTTTTCACCATGTCCTTATTGGTTTTGGGAATAAGAATGAAGGAGG